GAGGCTGGTTCTGAAGACAACAGCAACACGCGAGCAGCTGTTGGGCAGAAATCCCCATTAACCCAATCAGGAATCCTCAAAACAACAGARAGGACGACGTGTCTGAGCCCCTAACGAGCCCGCTGACGACGCTTTTAAAATAGTGCCAGGCAAACAATGTGACGAACGGCGGCAAAATGATCCCCGCTCCTATCTTGTGAAAGGGCAGGTGTTGATATGTTTACCCACATGTTGGTATTTACCACAGCAACACTGACTCTGATGCAACTAAGACCTATTTATGCTTTGCACACAGACACGTAGACGGTAACCAAATGATCGAGTTCACAGTTAGCGTCAACTGGAAAACAAAGCAAGTACGCGTTAACGTCCGAAACCAAACACTGACGAGTCAAACCAAACACCAGTGGGCAGAGCTGTTCTGCATTTCATTTATGAACCTGAAATCAGAAGTGCAACATGACCAAAAACATTATTAGAAATGTACAGAGCCTGCGAGGGGACATGGGGGGATTTTTTTCTTTTGCGTTCCCTCGCAATACCTTTGCGTTCCCTGGCAATACCTTTGCGATCCCTCACAATACCTTTGCGTTCCCTCGCAATACCTTTGCGATCCCTCGCAATACCTTTGCGATCCCTCACAATACCTTTGCGATCCCTCACAATACCTTTGCGTTCCCTCGCAATACCTTTGCGTTCCCTCGCAATACCTTTGCGATCCCTCGCAATACCTGTGCGATCCCTCGCAATACCTTTGCGATCCCTCGCAGTATTGTTTTGTGTTCCCACGCAAAAGTTTTATTTGTATATGAACTGAATTAAATCAGACTTTTGTTTTGAAACATCCAGTTACCAAAACAGGATGTGTCGCCACAAGTTCGTAAAATTGACATATATGTTGCGTGGCTGCACTGTGTTAAAATATCAGCAAATGACATACCTCCATGCGTGGCTGTGTGATATATTCATTCTGAAGCTGAATTAAAGCAGTACGCTAACTTGCTAATGGTAAACATATGAGTTTGTTAACAAACAGCACAACAGTGTTTAACTACTTTTGCGAGGGAACGCAAAAAGAAAAATAATCCCCCATGTCCCCTCACGAGCTCAGTAGAAATGTGAGTCATCTAAAGTTATTTCAAAATAAAGGTTATCCATTGTGTGGCAGCTTTGGCTACAAGTACTTAGAGTTAGTTTTGTTTGACTCTATTAAGTGGTCTTTCTTCATTGAGTGAAGTTTTCTTCCTTTTTTAACAGTTTTGTAAGCCACACAAGACTTTCTGATGTCAGATATCCAAAAACATATTTTTTAAATTAGACAAGAACTTCTCAGTTGTACCTTAATCCTGCCCCACGATCTTCAGGAGACATCTTCAGAGAATAAAACCACCTTTCAAAGACGGAACAGTGCCACAAAACGTCCCCCCAAAAACGTAACGAGTAAAGTTTTCAACTTAAACCAGAATTTGTCTTTTCCAGCAGTGAGATGAAGCTAACTCAAACTTAGCAGGCAACACAGTCTGACAGCAGCTTCTGTTTATCCTCAATGAATTCCCACCCCCTGTTAGAGTATTTCAAGTGGCTCCGTCTAAAAATAACTGGGTCACACTACATTCCATCCTCCAGTCATCAGGAGTACAGAGGAAGTGGGGTTGAGGGCGGGGGGCCCCAAACAGCTGCCACCAACAACAACACCACCAGCCCAACATCAACAGCTCCTCACACACACCTCCTCGTATGTCTGAGTGACGAGGCATGAGCAGAGGGACATGTGTGTCGCATGTTCACGTATTGTTGGATGTTGATAAARGTTTTCTAAAGAACCATTTAAAGGATGAGGAGGGAGGATCAGTTTAAATTTAGCCAAATTCAGAAATGTTTACCAACTAAAAGCTGTTTAAATCAAATGAAGGGACTCAAAACAAACAAACTACATTAAAATGTATCTTGAACTGAGTTCTCCACACCAACAATCACTACACTCRAAACAGTTTAAGCSTTTAACACTGTGGTAAAATAACATMTAAATCCTTTTAACATAAGCCTTTCAGTCTGTAGAAGAAAACAGTTCAATTATTGCTCAGTCCTGCATGAAATGACTCAGCAGTGTTTAGTGTTTGCTTAGCGCTTGTTTAGTAATGAACACCAATACCCAGCATAATGTTACTTAAACACTCTCCATTAGTCTGTTCTTAGCAGTGATAGGGGTCCGATTCATAAGAAAAAAAAATCACAATTTAATGCCTTCATTCTCTAGTGTTATATGACACGCTTATTTAAACATCATCATACAGCTGCTTTTTAAATGAATTTATCATAAATGCTGTTGAATAAAACARGTTTATAGGAGTTTAAATGAGAAGAGAGATAATTTCGTCACATATTTTTTTCAATAACTGTTCAAAAAACACAAGTCAAGCAAACAAAAACTTGTGTTTTATACATCAAAACCCACACAAATTTAAAACTTGGCCATTATCACTCTTATATATATATTTCCCAATCACATGATTGACAGGTGTGTTGTTTACCATGCATCACCCTGAGATCCAATCAGACTTTGTCCTGCAGCACACCCCCTTCAGTGAAGTGATCCAATTGGCTCAACCTATTAGTGTCTGCATCATTTCTGGCAGAAAAGAAACAGCTAAGTCACACACACACACACACACACACACACACACACACACACACACACACACACACAC